CACCCGATGCTGGACTGCCCAAAGCGCAAAGCGTCGTGACTAGGGACGAGTCTCCCGAGCGACGATGGTCCGAGCCCGGAGCCTCGCGAGAAGCGACCAAGGGGTCGTGATCCGCGGGGGGGGGGGGACTGATAATACCAATCATTCTCAGACTGCATGTTCTTTTCGTTTTCCAGGCCATTCGCCAACCGACTATTTTGGTCATCCTGCTGAGTCGTTAGCAGCTTCTATATCCGACCCAACACCGGAGGCCATTCAGCGAGTCTTGCAACTCTTGCCGAGTGAGGTGCCTGCTCGTGGGGATGCCAATGAAAGTTCGCATTCCTTTACGGTTGGAGCCTTTTCCAAGAATGGTAAGGTTGGGGTGCGGTCCTTCACACGCTCATTCCCCAATGTCACGCAGTTGCTAACGCGGTTTGTGCATGCTAAAGCTCCGGGGCGCATCTTCGGTGCCGTGGCGTGCTTTACCAATTTGGCTGCTGAATTTCATTGCGACGTGAATAATGATTCTCGTTTCAATAACTGGGTATGCCCATTGTCGAGGTTCCAGCAAGGCGGCATTTGGGTGGAACGTGATGGTGGCACGGTGTCCAAGTTCGCTCGGGGCAAGGAGCGCGCCGGTGTCGTCCTCGACGTGTCCCAGGGACCAGTCGAGTTGCCATCGCATTGCCTGCACTGTGTTCTTCCATGGGAGGGCGCCAGATGCGTCTTGGTGGCGTTCGTTCCGGCTGCTCTTGAGAACCTGCCATCGACACACAGGGACTTCTTGAGCTTCATGGGTTTTCGTCAGCCTCACGCTGGTGTGGTACCCTCCGAGGGCGCACACCAAAACAGCATGATCCCCGCCGTGGCATTTTCCGGGCCCGCGCCGACCTCAACCGCGCTGGCTATGGACCTGGGGTCTTGTCCTTCCTTTGGGGTACCCGCCGCCTGTCCCGACCCTAGTTCCTCAGGTCCTAGGTTGGTTAAGCCCTTTGCCTTGGAACTCTTCTGTGGCACAGTAGGTGTGTCTGCAGCCTTCATGCGGCGAGGTTTTGAGGTTCTTGGCGTGGATCATCATCTTCGACCGCGTCGCGTCAAGGCACCAGCAGTTCGGGTTGACATTTCAGATCCGACTCAGCAACACGTCCTCCTTCAGGAGGTTCGTAGGGCGGATTGTATCTTCTTAGCGCCCCCGTGTGGGACCGCGTCTAGGGCCAGATCTATCCCGCTGAAGGGTCGCGGTCCTAAACCGAAACCGCTGCGCTCCTTGGCATTCCCGGAGGGTCTTCGTAAGTTAACCGGAGTTGCAGCAGCCCGAGTGGCTAGTGCGAATGAGCTCTACAGGTTTTCTTCAGAAGTCTTCGCTTTGTGCCACCGTCTCGGTAAGATATGTGTAGTGGAAAATCCGACGGGATCGTTCATGTGGCGAACCCGCTGGTTTCGGGCCATAGAGCACTTAGGATGTTGGAACGACCATCAAACGTGTATGTATGGCTCAGACCGGGACAAGAAGACGTCACTCTTCAGTACCCATTCCTTGCCTTCTATGCAGCTCATGTGTGACAAGCAGCACACACACACACCTTCCGTGGGGTCGCAATAAGTCTGGCAATACTTGGGCGTTTGCCACGTCGGCCGAGGCCGAATACCCCAAGGGTTTCTGTGCTGCGTTGGCTAAGGATGTTTGTGACATCATGTCCCCGCGCGGATGGGACATGCACGAGACGGTGCCTTCGCATACCGCTTTGGCAGCTCAGGCGGCGCAGCGTCAAGCACGCCGCGATGCTCCACATCACGGGCCTTCCGAGTACTTGTCTCGTGTTACGGTGCTGTTGCCGCGTGAGCTTCCGGTTCCGGCTGTCATTCCAGAGGATGCGCCTGAGCCGCTCCGTGGCATTCCCGTGGGGTCCAAAATGTTGCAGTGCCATGAGGTTCAGAAGGGGGGTTCTATCGTCAAGGAGGCAACTTTTGGGATTTTCAGAACTCCAGATGCTTTTGTCAAAGAGGCATTGAAGATGACACATCCCTTCGAGCTGCCTACAGAGCTCGACTCGTCTAACGTTCAGGCGATGGCAAATATTTTGTCTTCGGGAGTCCAAGGGACATGTAAGTTCCGCGAGGGTGTTCTGCGACACTACGAACAGCGGGCGGCATGTCTTGAACAGGCCGAGCAAGAGTTGAAAAGCAAGATGCATCCAGAGGTGCGCGAGATCATGAAAGATAAGCGCTTGTTGCTTGTCCGAGGCTCTTAAGGATGCCGGGGTGAATGACCAGCACCTTGTTGATGATCTCACTCATGGTTTCAGGATCACGGGCGAGCTTAGGCCATCCGGGTTGTTTCCAAGGATTCTTCGCCCGGCTGCGTTGTCCCAAGATGATCTTAGGGCCACTGCGAAGTGGTCGAAGCATGTGGTTGCGGATTCCTGCAGGCGGGCATCTAAAGATCCGGAGGTGGCAAGGGCAGTATGGCGAGAAACTTTGGAGCAGAAGGAAAAGAACTGGCTGCGCGGCCCGTTTACCTTTGATGAGATCGACCAGAAATACGAAGGCACGTGGATTGCTTCCAAACGTTTTGGGGTGGTCCAGGGAGAGAAGACTCGGGCAGTCGATGACCTATCCGAATTCTTGATCAATGCTTCAGTGACGGAGACCGACAAGGTTATCTTGGATGCAGTGGATAGCATCGTCGCAACCGCCCGCTTCTTGGTGGGATCCCCTTGCGAGGATGGCGAGTCCTTTAGGCTGCCGTGTAGCGATGGGTCCAGCTTCTCAGGATTTCTTCACGAAGACTTTCGGGGGCAGGGCGGATCACTACAGCTATACGGCAGAGCCCTGGACTTAAAAGCAGCCTACAAGCAGCTGGCGCGGCATCCGGAGGATGCGTGGGCAACCGTGCTTGCAGTGCTATGCCCGGAGGATGACAGAGTTTACTTCTTTGAGGCGGTGGCCCTTCCATTTGGAGGGGTCAGCGCCGTGACTGGGTTTAATCGCGCAGCTAGGTCGCTAAAGCTTGCTATGTCGAGATTGCTGTGGATAATCAACACGTCCTACTACGATGACTTCTGTCAGATCGAGGTTTCGGGCTTGGAGACGTCAGCTGCACAGGCCGCCGAGCGATTTATGGCTCTCCTCGGATGGGAGATCGCGAGGGGCGATAAGCTTAAGCCTTTCAGCCCTTCGTTCAACATCCTCGGTGTGACTGTGTCTTTCGAGCGTTCCTTGCAAGGCGTGATTGAGGTTTCCAACAAACAGGAACGGCTGCCTGACCTGTGGAAGCTTCTTCTTGAGATGGAGTCAGACCCAGGGCTCAGGCTTGACACGCTTGCGTCCTTTAAAGGTCGGATGCTTTTCGCGACGAGCCATGTCTTCGGCCGATGCGCTCGGATCTGCACGCAACTTATAGGCCAGGCGTTGAAGGCTGCTAGACCTGAGGAGGCCAGGGATCACGTGCTGAAGGCGGCAAGGCTAGCTTTGGCAGTCCTCAGCGAGGCCGGTCCTCGCGAGGTTCTTAGGTGGGGCGAGGCTCCACCCGTCTTGGTCTTCACCGATGGTGCTTGCGAAAAGGACGGTGCTCTTACGACCCATGGGGCAGTCCTCTTGGATCCTGCCACGGGAGTCCAAGAGTTCTTTGGGGAGCGTGTGCCAGACTTTCTTGTGCAACGTTGGCGAGGTCAGGGCCTCAAGCAGCTTGTCTTCTTTGCAGAGATGTTGCCGGTAGCCGTGGCCAAGGCTACGTGGCAACATATCCTTAGGAACCGCTTGTGCATTTTCTTTCTGGATAATGAAGCTGCTCGGGCCTGCCTCATCCGATCCTTCACGCCCGTCGCCAATGCAACCAGCATTCTCATGGATGTTGCAAAGCAGGATGTGGCGTCACATTCCTTGAACTGGTACTCGCGAGTGCCCTCAAAGAGTAACATTGCTGATGACGCATCGTGGTATTTAGCTTTCTTTTCGAAGCCGCAATAGACGGCTACCGCCTTGGGAAG